GTGCTTCCGTGGCTCACCGTATGTTTCGATCCTGCAGTGGACATGGGGACAGTTACTCTTAGAGGCTAACTGGGCTTGGCCGCGCAAAATGCACTGGCTTCTGCCTTCGGGCTCGAGTTGCACAAAGCAGTCGCATACAACCACTAAATTTTTTCTTCCGGGAAATTCTGAAGTACGCTTTCTTTGCATTTGGTTTCATAGCATCGTAAAACCATGTATTTCTCCCCGTAATTCCCACATCTCCTCTAAGGCTCATCTCCTTTCCAGTGAATGTCTCGGAACTGTCTTCCTTGTTAGAACTGTCTGAGGCTCAGCCCAAGCTGCCCCCATAATCTTCTCCCCCGTGTACCGTCTCCACGGTCATCACAACCAAGCCTGCCTTGCCGAGCCGAGTTTTAGCATTTATTAAAAATTGGCTCGTACCCGCTCGTTTGTGGCTTTAGAAGATATGAAAATAAATAATCGTCAGATTTTTTGTTACGGTGCGATTGGGGCAAGCAGTCGTCGTTGTTGTACGTTTCGCCTTTCACCAGCCATCTCTGTTTCTACGCCGTCAGCAGCATGATTATCTCGTAACTTGCCTTCAGCAGGGGCGAACCAAAAACGAGTTCTACAGATTGCTCTCTTAGGAGGTGTGACATGTTCTTGGGAGTAGCGGAGGTGTTGGCAGCGCCGTGAGATTGACGCTTGGTCGTGTGGCTTCTTGGTTTATTGGCGCTTTTTCATGCAAAAGCATAGAATATCATGCTAGAATCGGGAAGTGGTGCGACACGCGAGAATGCAGAAGCGATGGCGTTTTTTGCGGCGTTGAAATCTCGAGGAGCAATGCTTTCGGAGGATGAGAACCAGTGACTCATGAAGAGCGAATTTTGCCCGAATTTTTGTGATGTCCAAGTAAACGGTGTCTCAGATGTTTGTACTGTCAGTTCGGCTGTTTTGCCCGCCAAGCCGCGTTCCTCTCCGCCAGCTCTAGTTATGCACGCTTTTCTCCGTTTAAGGATTGCCATGTGACCGTGCAGCCACTTACTGCTGCTTTTATATGTGTGTGTGTCTGTCTGTCTTCCATCATTTGTCGGCAAAGCGTGCTGTCGGATGCTTTTTCTCTCCGCTGCTGTTTTGGATTTAGGTTGAAGAAGTGCCAGGATGAGCTGCGATTTGGAAGAGCTTATGAATTATGTTGATCAGTTCGACACTGACATCGCAACCGCAAGTGACGAAGTAAGACTTTTGTGTCAAAAAAAA